AAGACAATCAAATCCTTTATACTGCTTTTATCACAAATGATGACAGAATTTAAATACATGCTACACCTAGTACTAACTATAACCATTCCACTAACTATAACCATTCCAGGAGAGAAAACAGCAAAGTGAATCTGCAAAGAGGCTAGATACAAAACATGAGGGTGAGAGCATACAGGAAAACAAAAAGCACTCCACAGCATCTAGCAACTATTCTGTCCATCTCTATCAAGTTCCTGCTCCCTAAATTTCCCTGTGCAAAAGCTTACTTTTCTATCTTTTGATACTTCACTATCAACCAGCTATTCCAGGACTACAACTTCCTCATAACTTATTGGATAGGAACGTAAATTCCTTTTTTCCTACAGCAGGAATTCCCAAGGTTCACAAATGTAGACCCTTCCCCATCAATTCTATAATGATGAGTGTTGGAATAACACCAAGACCATCAACCAGATTCACACCAGTGCTACTCTTCTTCTCAGAAGAAGAAACAGCATAATCTAGAGGTATAGTGTAATTTAATAATTTTTTTTAAAAATTTATAAACACACCAAGAAAAACCACACACAAAAAAAAGAAAAAAAAAAAAAAACCCACACAATTTATCTCTAGTACCTTAGAGCACCCTGACTTTTCCAAAGTAGTAACAAACAAGATGCCTTCATAGAATGTCATGGCATATTCAGAAACACGTAGTACCAGAGTGATTCTTCCCTTCTCAAAGTGAGTGACAGCACTCAGAAAAATCCACCTAAAATGTCCTTCCTTAGTCTCACAGGCTCTAAGGAACACAGTTATCCATGATGTCATTTTCTTCTAACAGTCTTTTCAGGGAGCAGTTAACAAAGGCCACATGAGAACACAGCACTCTCTGCAGTCTACACTGGAAGTCATCTCTGGTGGAAGCAGAGATGGAGAATCGTTATTAAAAGATGGTGTCATTGTTTCCTCATATGTTGTCCCTCCAGCTACTGCTCATTTACAACAACAGCAGAAAGTATCATGCTTTGGAGGTGTGGTTTCTGTGGAGAATATCAGATCATGATAAACTAAGGAGTCTGAAATTACAAAGTCAGCCCTTGTTATACATGAGTACTGACATATATGACCTTCCACCACTGTCACAGAAACAGAACAAACACCTCATTATCTTTATTAGATAATAAAAGCCCCACTGTCAGTGATTTTAATCAGACTTGGCAAAAGCTATTTTAATACTTGGGGCACTGAGGAAGGTAGAGAGCCAAAATCTCAGTCACAAAAATATTACTTTTCAAACAAGGATAATCTTATTGCTACAAAATAAAGCTATCAGCTCTCAAATGAAATTAGTTCAGGCAGCAATACAATAACCATTAAACTTGCAAATCAAGACGCCTGATAGTTGCAGCATATGTTTGACTGAAAAAGTAAGCAAAGCACAGACCAGAAAGATAAAGAAAGGTTTAGCAAGACCAGCAGTAGGTCTAAAACAGGAGTTCCTAACAGGAAATTCTTATTCTTTTAATTGTGTGCAGAGATTTAAAACTATTTAAAAAAAAATTAAAAATAAAAAAAGGCTGGTCAGGCTCTGAAACTTAGAAAAACTTCAGAGTAAGGGCCTTCTACTACACTACTACATCTCAAGTTTCTTCCCTAAGACCTAGCTTGCAGCAGCAAGTTAGTGTTGCCAAAATATAAGATTTTTGCATGAGCAATTTGTGATGTTAAAATAGTATGGATTTCAGTCTCTTATCTCTTTTAATTGCTGAATAAAATGGACTCTGTCAGAGAAGAAATGAAAGGAGGAGTTTTATATTTTTCATATTTGCCTCAGGCTACCAGCAGAAAAATTCAGGACTTTTTCTAAGGTATGTCAGTGCCAATGATGTGTCACATGTCATTACTTTATAATTAGGCTGATAGACAAAAAGAATAATGCAGCTGACATTCTATTAAAATAAAAATTATTCCCCAAGGCATAAAAACACTGACATTAGCATCTTAAAAGGCAGAGTAAAAATTATATAGGGAACTATTTATCTGTGCTGCTGTCTTTTCCAGAATCAAATAAGTTATTCTTAGTTATGTGTGTATTGAATATTGAATTATCCTATGCTGATTTTTTTTAATTCTTTTTTGAAAACAAAACGTAATTAAACCATTGCTCAGCTAGGAATAAAAGCTACTATGAGAATAAGATACTATCTACACTCTATATTACTTGAAATTACAATTTGATTATCAATTGTTCAATTCTTCAAATAAGCATCTAATCAAAAAACAAATACATTTTAAAAAATAGAAAACCAGACTTTTTTTGTCATGAGTTTGAAACAATTAAGCCTTAAAAACCAAATTTGAAAACACTAGGCCTTCCTTCTGCTTAAAAATTCTATAAAACACTCCTGACAGAATCAGGGTTTAGGCAATACAGGCCTGTAAGTCCATATAGTTCAGAACATATTTAGTTCAGATTGTGTCTGGAAGTTATTCAGACTGGAAGAATTACCAGATTACAAAACTGTGGTTTATAGCCAAAATAACAGCCTTCACAGCACAGCCAAATTTTAACTCTCCATTAACATAAGTAAGAGATGTCCCATCTACTCTTTGCCAGTACAGATATCACAAAATGTTTGCTTTTCCATCTGTTGATGTATAAACTACTGAAAGAAAGCATTTCCACCTTTATGCATTTCAGCAACATTACTCAAAATATCAGACTTCAAATTCAGTTTGGACTGAACTCAACCAGTAGCATGTTTATATTTTTTTTTTCTAAAAACTGTTAATACATTTCCAGTTGGCCAAAAAAAGAGAGTCCTTCATGAAGCTGTGAGATCTAGTTCTTTGTTCATGCAGTGCTTTCATTCCCAACACAATGACAGACAGAGAGAGAAGTATTGTGTTTTCAATGTATTACAAAAAATCCTGTGATTTAGTTGTTCCTATTAAACAATTACACTCAGAGATTATATACTCTAAAGTGACATGATTTCCACTTGACTGCCTTCCTTTTATGTTCCAGACCCAAAATTTAGAACATACTTGCTTACACCACTATCCTATTTCAAGAAAAGGCAGACGACTTCTTGAAAAGTTATCTATTATTTTGTTGCCTGTTTCTTGAGTACTGCCAAAGGAAGGGCTACTTAGTTTTCTCTCTGTACTCTAACACAGTGTGCATAATCTCAAATTATCTTTAATTCACCATGCTAAAAAAATAAGTAGGCAAAAAAAACCCCAAAAACAAATAGGGCAGGTAATGCTGTAGAAGATCAGTATTTTTCAAAGTTTAATACTCAGAGCACAACTTGTTCTCTTAGTGACTTAATGACAACAAGGGAAGGACCACGGCTGCACTGAAGGACACAAATTCCTATCATCCCTTTACAGATGTATCGCAGAGAACAAAAGACATACTTGATGTCTTGATTTGCTGAGCATACACCTGAAGTGTGTCCTATTCCCACTCCTCATTTTCAAATCTCCTGTGCATCACCAGGACTCTCATCACTTGCCTCAGCTGTTCCATTCAATCTGGATGCTGCTCAGAGGTGAAGCTGTCTGGAGGCCATGATAAATTTTGGCATGAGGTCCTACTAAACATCCCAGGTCACAAATTTTACCAAACTCACCAAAGGAAGAAAAAAACATTTTCTCCGTGTCCTAAACTAGCTGAGAAAACATCTTTTTGCCAGCATTGAAGTAAATGGCAAATGTGGAAAGATTCTGTTTAGAAAGATCAAAAACCTACAAGGAACAATATAAGGTCTGGTATATTGCTTTTCATATGTGCAGCATATTTTCATGTATGCAATTGCCTTTTGAAACACATCGGTGGTGTTAATGGCAAGGTAATCCTGTGTTTTTCTAGATGTGCATTTGTAGAAGGATAACCACAGTTAGGTTCATAAGTTCATTCACTTACATAAAAAGGAAGCTAATTTCACAAAATAGCAGATACAACAAACTAAGTGAAATCAGCAACATATCTGAAAACATGAAGAGAAAAAAGCATGCATCGCACTTCAATTTGAGACTATTTTTTAATTTCTGGGAAAAGAACACTTACCAGTTACTGTTTATACTTCAGTTCACCACAAAGACTAAACTGATTATATATCAGATGTTTTCTATTACAGTTAACTTGTAAGGGGAAAAGTCAATGCCTCTAACAAAGTAAAGTATTGATTTTTTTCTGCCTGGTAAAAACAACCACAAACAAGTTAAGAAGCACTGTGTTCTAAGAATAAACAAGCAGTTGTATAATTACTTATTTCAATTTGCAACAGCAAAATTGTTTTTTCTCCATTATTATTGGAATTTATGTTGTTATTCTTTTTTCTTAGATGTAATTAAGGCTTTTTGAAAAAAAAAAATGTATAATGCAAAATCTCCAAGCATTTACCCTCACTTAAATTAAAGCATAATCACTAAATAAGCCTCACTATTAGAGTTCAATACCTGGAAATTTAGTTTATTGATGTTGTAAGAATAACTACACTAGAAGCCTTACCAGAGAAAAATTCTAAAGTATATGTTTTTGGGGGATTTTGACTTGTGGCAATCACAGTTAAGTGAGATCTTTAATCAGTTTTTCCCCTCATATGAAATAATTTAATGGTTCTGACTTCTCTGCACAAGACAAAAATACTGTATAGTACGGTTTATATTTAGCTTTAATACATATGAAATCATTTTACAAATAAACTTTAAAAGTGAACACTTGACCTCAAAATATGGTCCAGTCTCTGGCACATCACCACCATCACATATCATATGTATCAATGCAGAAAGTGACTGAAATACATCAAGTATCTCAAACTGAAGAGCAGCTGCTTCTGAACAAAATGCAAAGTTGAAGTGTGCAAATTTTACCATTTCAAACCATTCAACAGATACAGTCATTTCTCTATTCAAGAAATTGGAGAAAAACAAAAATAATGGCTTCGCTTGCTAGGCAAAAAAGTCCAGGACTTCACTTTCCTCAGCTTCTGAAAAACACAAAGGCTTACCTTTCTGTACACCAGCATGTTTGGGGACTCATCAGCCACCCCACTGCTGCTTTGCCCATAATTATTTCCTTGTGCCATGTCCCACAAATTTGATCCGCTTTTGGATGTTGCACTGTAAAAGGTAAAAGTGGTTTCAATAGGGCATCACCTCAGGTCTCCTTGCTTCCCTGATGATTAATGGACCTGACTTTCTACCAACATGTTATCAAAATCAGTGTATGCTCTCACTCAAATAGATATTTACATGGGAGCGAAGCTGCTAATTCACCATTTACTGTCATTACTCTCTTTTGCCGGTAAATTATGGATGTAACGTGTTGATCTAATTTAAACGTTAATGAATTGTCCCTGGGAACAGCTCCCTGACACACCGCTGAGCACCACATCACACAGACGCCTCCTCACAAAGCGCTTCTTCCTCCTCTGCGCGGGGCTCACCAAGGGACGCTCTGCACCTTCCAGGCCAGTTTTGGGAGGACTGACTCGGCCCGTGACGCGTATTCAGCAGTGCCCTCCGCTCGCAGCTCGGGTCGTAGCAACTTTCACAACATTCAAAGGCACGAAAAGCAAGCCAGACGCTTTGAACCTCCCTGTAATTCACCAGCACATCTGTGCTCGTACATACGCCGGGGCAGGGGAGCAGGTGATGAGGGAAAATGGAGAAATAAGCCAGAACACTGTTCCGGTTGCTTTCACCTACTTTCAGCGCACTTTACCGCCAAACACCGGCTCCCTGCCAGCCCCGTCTGCTCCCCGCCCTCCCCCGGGTCACACGGGAGCTGCACTAAGCAAGAGCTCGGATCATGCCGTAGCTCCGGCTTTGCACGCAGGTGTAAGAATGTGCTCCATCTACAGACCACACCGGCGGATGCGGAGAGCCCGGAGAGCCGCCGAGCCCTACTCCAAGCACTAACCTCCCGAGCCCTCTCCAGCCCCCGAGACCCCTCGCGTTCGGGCTTGGCTGCCCCCCGTCCGCCCGCAGTGCCCGGGGGTGGGCGGCTGCGGGCGGCCGAAGGCCGGGCAGCCCGGCTCCCCCGCGGGCAGCCCGCAGCTCCAGCACCGCGGACAGCGGCGGCACCGCCCGGGGGCCCGGCGGGAGCGGGGCCTCGGCTGCGCCGCGGGAGGCGCGGGGCGGGGGCGCGGAGGGGCGCGGAGCCCGCCCGCTCGGTTACCTCCTGGGCCAAGGTCACTGCGCGCTGGCCGCGGCTCCTCGGCTGCTCCTGCTGCTCCTGGCGCGCCCCGCGCGGTGGGTGTCAGCCGGCAGCGGGCGGAGGGACGCGGCGATCGCTCATCACACACGCACACACACGCACTGCGGGCGGAGGCGCTGCTGCCGCTGCCGCCGCCGAGGCTGCGGCTCTGCCGTGCTCTGCCGGAGCGGCGGCAGCTCAGCTCCCTCCCCGCAATGGAGCGGCCGTCACGTGGGGGACGGGCACGTCAAAGGTGCTGCCGCCGCTCCGCCACACAGCAGCAACCTTCCTCCTCCTCCTTCCTTCCTTCTCCTCCTCTTCCTCGGCGCTCTAGGCTCCCTCACCGAAAACAGCGGCCAAGAAAATGCAGCTGCCAGCAGATCTGGCAGCAGTCCCTGTAAATGAGATTAGGCATCGCTGGTGGGCTGGGCAGGAAGAGAATGTGGGCTAATGGGATGGGGAAGGAAAAGGGGAGTTGTTGGGGAAACTGTGTCACCTCCTTCATATTTCTTTACTGACAGCAACAGGGAATCTGCCTCTTCCTCTGTCTTATGCTGTATACCTCATGTATATTTTTCAGTGAAAACTAAGGAGAGCCTGTGCTCTCTTGGCACTGTAGACTTCCCTGAGCAGTGGAACAGAGAGAGCAGAGAGTGAACCTGTTTCAGGCAGATAGGAAGAAACCCTGAGGACACCTCAAGTCCCACCTGGGACTTGCCATGTCCTAGACAGCTAACTGCCTAATTTGTGAAGGCCTCACATTGGCTACGATAAAAGAAAAAAGATCAGGTCTCTCACACTTACTTCCCCATCACATGCAGACAAGAATGCTTTTGCAATACTGCTTTTGCAAGGGAGTTGAAATGCCCAGAACTCAACATCCACAAGAACACAAGGTACTTAAGTGGTTTCACTTTGGTACATTTCGATTTAAAAGTGTCTTTTCTGGACACAGTAGCTCTTATTACAAGAATGATCTTGCAAAAGAATCCTCTACTGTGCACTGCACCTTGGTGGAGTGTGTGCTGGTAAATCATGCAATTCAAGCAGAGGTTTCCATGCACAGTGGGTCACCTTGACTCTTACTCTTTCTACCTTTCTCACATCTCAGAGAGCCTCAAAGTGACACTATCCTGCAAGAAGATTGTTATTATCATCTACTGCAACTACTTTTAATTACTCTTCCAAACTTTTCAGACACCTTGAGATACTTTAACAGAGGATGTGGTAAATTAGCTCAGACAATGATAGGGAGTCACATTGGCAAAAACAAAATGAAGGAAAAAGGACAGAAACAATCTGGACTTTTTGGAGAGCTGAGGAAAGGAAGATATAAGTTTAATAATGGTCCTAGAATGAACACCAGAGTAAAGAAATATGATCTCCATCACAAATAAGAATGTTTTTCAGAGACAAGTTGTAAAAGACGAAATGACACAATAAGAATAATCAACTCTGCTCAGTGAGATACACTGGCTGCAAAGAAAAGGAGCTCTGTAGCAGACAGACACTGCGCATCAGCTTCGATAAAGGAGAATAATTTATCATGTCACAAGGAAAAGGAAGTGTGAAAACAAATGGTGTTAGAAAACAGAGAACTCTGGAGTTTTGAGGTGGAAGAGAACTACAGAAAGAATTCAACAGCACAAGCATAAAGTGAAGTAGTATCAATATTGAAAGTATTTGGCAGAGGACTTTATTAAACCAAAGATTAAACACAGAACTAAGACCTGTTTCCCACAAAAATTCTCTTCACATACAATAGCATCTCAGTGAGGCTAATAAAGTAAGGATCAAAATATTAATCTTCCATCAGATTCTCTGATTCAGCCCAGTCCACAGTTGAGAAATGGGAACCAGCAATAAAGACCTCGGTGTATTTTCACACAGACATCCCAGATGAGCAGCACTGAGTGTTCAGAGCTCAGTGATTTGACTTCACAAGTCTGACAGGTGCACCAGAAGACAAGGGAAATGCCTCCCAAGGTCTGCTAAGAACACAAGTGATGCCCTTGTGGTGGTATGGCATCAAAATAAACTCAAAATCTTATTTATCAGACTGGTGTTTAAATTTCTTTTTCAGAGTAAAAATGGGAACTGCACAAAATATAATTCAAATATAATTTTACCCTTAAAGAGAGGTAGGAGGGGAATCTTTAAAAATATTGATAAGACACATATTCTTTCCACTTGTTCTGCCAGGCACTAAACATAGTAATTGTGTTAAAGAGCATAAAAATCAAACATTAGCAAGTTTCCAATGAGATCAAATATTTGTTTTCTTACTCTGCCTCATTTTGTTGTTAATGCAGGGGACAAAAAGAACTACATACATTTTGTACTACAATTCTTGGACTACCTACTTGAAGTTACTCAAAAGCTGACTTCAAGATAGCTACTTTCTATAAGTTATTCTGCGAATGGACTTTGGTAGCAGTGATGTGTCTTTGGAAAGCTCCCCAACATAGCTGGCTAATTTAGGCAGCAACATTTTCCAAGCTTTTATTCTCTGAGAATGTCCTTAAAACTAAGGGCAGAGACATACCCAGCTGAGTTAGGTTTTGGCTATGCTACCTCAAATTTTGCCTTTGCTTTAACTTTGTTTTAACCATTGTGATTATTTTCCAAGTAAAGTAAAATACAAAATCCTATACTAATAGACAAAGTTTATATATTTTCTTTGAAAATAATCAAATTTTAATAACATAAATGCAGTTTTAAAGCAGAGAAATTACTTGGGCCCATGGAAGTCAAGAGGTATTTCTCCAGTAACATCAAAAAGAAGTTATTCCAGTTTTTAATCTTGTCCTCAGAGCCAGAGGAATACCTTAAACATCTTAGTCATATATCTCACAACTACAGACCTGCTACACTGAAGCACAACAAAATTTTTTCACCAGCATGTCCACTGTCTAAACGAAGTAGAACTCTAAACCCTAATGGCGTTAAACAGAAGACCAGAAACTACCAACAGAATTTGCTTTTTGCCATCATTTTGTGGTGAAAGAGACCCTGGGCTGGACTACTTTCATAAATACAAGTAGAAAGAAAATAATTTATTTAAAAAATATGTAACCAGATAGTCTCATTCTATTGTACTTGGGTGTGTTTGTTCAATAGCCTATAAAAAGCTTTAATTCATAAATTACTTACACATCTTTCCCATGCTGAAAGTCATCACTTATCTCATATACAACCAGCATTAGCCTCCCCAGAAAGCACGGTCTGCCAGAAGAGGAAAGGTCTTTTCAAAATGCAAGGCAAAACTACTCATTAATAAAACAAAGATGATGGGGAAAGGCTGCCAAGGGGCAGCTTTATCTAACAAGGCAATAAAGTACACATGATTGAGCAAGGTGGTGACTACATTTTCTGTGTTTAGCTTTCACTGTCAGTACAACAAGTATTCCAGTAACATCACATGCACGTGGCATTTTTAAGTAAAAATATTACGTCAGGATGTGTACAACAATCTATTTGGATATGATCAGAAATTTTGCTGTCTGTCCTGCTGGCCAATGCTGTAGCATTATGTCAGTATGCCCCTATATCCATCAGTTTATGTCTTATGCCCAGATTAAATGTTCCTTGGAGTAAAGACATACTGTGCAAGCTCTTATCACAGCATGATCTTGTTCTATGACCAAATTTTTAAAGCTTTAGAGCATTATAAACAATTACATTCAAATTTACTAAAATAATGTAAACATGCTAGCTGAACTCTAAACACTGACATGAGTTAATACTGTGCTACCTTAAAGTATAAGACCCAGGTTTTTTTTCTCTAGCTGGTTAAGCACAGAGACAACCTGCCTACTTTAATCGAACTCATGTATTTGTGACCCTCCCAATCCATAAGTGTTTCACTGCCAGGCTCTGAGCAGGTACCTAGTGATTCCAGGCCCAGCCTGTGGCCTTTTTGATGAGAACTGAACAGCTGCTCCTTGCAATCAATCTGCTTAATGTAGGTCTTCAAATGTCATCACAGTGATTACAGGTCACAGTATATATTTTCTAGAACTGAACCCAGGACTGACTTAGAAACTTCACCACATTCTTCATTTTTTTTACACTCTTGGAATTTGGTTTGTCATCTACCTTACAACCCTATTAAAATGTTAATTACTTTTGTCAATTTATGATGCTGATGATCAAAGCTATTGGTGTTCTGGCAGTTGGGGAAGGAGTTAAAAAACAACAAAAAGATATTTTTAGAACATAAAAGAAGGAGGTAACTAAAAAGAAATCTGCATTTAACAAAAAGAATTTTGATCTGATAGGAAAAGAAGTTGTGGACAGACATAATTTCACAATGCAAAATTATTAGAAATATGGAAAGCTCATATTTCCGTAACCTTTCTTAAGTATTAGATAGATAGATGGATAGATAGATAGATAGATAGACATACACACATCCCCACAGAGACCACAGTACAATTTGCATATATTTGAAACCTTAATGCAACAAATTTTATCCCTTACTGTTATTGTAACAGAAAGTCTACAGGTACATAGGATTTTGTGTCAATATAGTGACCCACCAAAGCTATCCATTGAAAGTCAATAGCTTCTCCCGACAAAGCAGAACAACCTCAAGCAGTTCCACTGCAGTCCTGACAATTTATCCAGCTGTAACTGCACCCAGAAGAGGGCAGGCTTTCTCAGACAAAGAGAGACAGGCTACGATAGCTGCCTGACAGACCACTAGCATTTTTTTCCCCTCCTAAAAGAGTTACCTCAACTGGCTATACACCATCATTTCATCAAAAAGTGAGAGTGTTTACAGAAATGAAACATCACACCATGTTCCTTTAAAACTGCCTGGAAGACCTGTGATTAATAAGCCCTGATCTTACTGTAAGTTACAAACTGGAGAAATCAATCAAGCACAGAGGGATAGAACAAATCTGCAGGGAAGAAAAAAAAAATAAAACAAAAAGATAGAGGGTTCAGTCAAATTTGGAGCTCATCATAATAACAGCCTTAATTCAAGCACAGTTCTGAATCCTGGTCTCCTAACTTCCAAAATAGCTCTTGGGGATGTTTTCCATTTTGTGTAAAAAAGTTATTATTGGCACAGAACAAAACCCAAGTTCACAAAATGGGACATTTTGTCTCTGCTTCAGATAAAATAATTAAAATAAGGGTGTGCTGCTCTCAGCATCTCTTATCACTTGGTATTTACAA